GAGAGAGAGAGAGACCGACAACCAGAGAGAGAGAGAGAGAGAGATAGATAGAGAGAGAGAGAGAGACCGACTGACAGAGAGACGCACACACACACATACAGACAGACAGACACACACACACACACACACACACACACACACACACACACACACACACACACAGAGACAGGCAGAGGGCCAGATCTAGAGAAGAAGCTGTGCGTGTGGCACACAAGAGTAGGAGGCTGAGCAATCGTCGCCGTCAGTTGTCGCTCGTGCTCCGTCAGCGAGCGAATGATCGCGAATGTCTTCTTTGCCTCTGCGAGTTCTGACGCGGCCGCTGTCACTGCACCTGCCTGCCGCAGTGTTACTAGTGGGAGACAACACGTCGAGCTCTGACGTCCCGAGAATCTCACGCGTTTATAGACAGAAGAGCTGCACCCGGCAGTTAGATGCGATATTATATGACTACTAGGCACTTAAAAAAAAAAAAAACCCTAACCCTAACCTAACCTAAACCCTAACCCTAACCCTAAAAAAAAAAAAATTAAATTAAATTAATGTGCCTAGTAGTCATATAATATCGCATCTAACTGCCGAGTGCGAAGAGCTAGCTAGTGCCTCACACATGTGCCCGCATGCGCGTTTGGGGCCAGAGCCACAGGCACTTGGGACAGAGTCAGTAAAAACTGAAAATAATATGAACGCACATTCACAAATACTACCTCTCAATTACACTTCCATTGTTGTGTCACTGTATATCAACTTGCTTTCACAAAATCCAATGCAGAACTTATACTTCTATATACATCACTACAATTATGGCGACACAGCTGCGCAGACTAGCAGCGGCGAGTGCGGGAGCGGCTAGTTCTGCATTAGGTTTTGTGAAACCAAGTTGATATACAGTGACACAACAATGGAAGTGTAATTGAGAGGTAGTATTTGTGAATGTGCGTTCATATTATTTTCAGTTTTTACTCACTCTGTCCTAAGTGCCTGTGACCGGAGCTGCTTCGGTGTGCGTGAACCAGATCTGTCTGTCTGTGTCTCTCTGTCGCGGGAGGTGTGTGTGTGTGTGTATGTGTGTGCGTGCGTGCGTGCGTGCGTGCGTGCGTTGGTGCGTGCGTGCGTGCGTGCGTGTGTGTTTATGTGTGTGCGTGCGTGCGTGCGAGCGTGCGTGCGTGCGTTGGTGCGTGCGTGCGTGCGTGCGTGTGTGTTTATGTGTGTGTGCGTGCGTGCGTGCGAGCGTGCGTGCGTGCGTTGGTGCGTGCGTGCGTGCGTGTGTGTGTATGTGTGTGTGTGTGTCCGTGTGCGTGCGTCCGTGTGTGTGTGCGTCCCTGTGGGTGTGCGTGCGTCCCTGTGTGTGTGTGTGCGCGCGTTCCTACGCGCGCGCGCGTGTGTGTGTGTCTGTGCGTGTGTGCACGTTTAGGTGCCTGTGCGTCCGTGCGTCTGTGTGTGTGTGCGTGCGTGTGCCTGTGTGTATGTGTGTGCATGCGTGCGTGCGTGCGTGCGTGCGTGGGTGCATTTATATTTCATCATAAAGCAGGAATAGGTTTTTGCAACGGTAATGTTGCGAATGCAAACTGGTAAAAAATGCAAACAGTAAATCTACGTGCATCCGTTTTCAGCGTCGCGCGCATCGGGAGCGATTATCATAAAAATTATTTATTCATTACCTTTCATGAATTATTTTATAACTGCATCAGCTAGCACATTGCGACTGACGCTTTACGAGTGGGATATGCGAATGCGCAGAGAGAGATAGAGAGAGACATACACAGACAGACGGACGGACGGACGGACGGACGGACGGACGGTCGGACGGACGGACGGACGGACGGACGGACGAACGGACGAACGGACGGACGGACGGACAGACGGACGGACGGACAGGCGGACGGATGGACAGACAGAAGGACGGACGGACAGGCAGGCAGGCAGTCCGGGGAACAAGAGGGAGAGAGCGAGAGATCGTGTCAGTTTCAGTAGTACGGGGTTGCGGGGGCAGGGTTGCGGTGCCACTGATCGTGGTTCAGGGCGCCACGTGCAGCCACGTGTAGCAGCAGGCCAACTCATCAATGTACGGCCCCTTGCTGAGCATTTACGACGTGAAAGACACTCGTAACACGCGCTACGATCACACCTTTCTTTTTAATTCCGCGAACCGGACTCGATACTCGAGTTAATGAATTCTTGGTGCGCGCGGGGGAGCAAATCACGATGTTTCCTCGCGCGTGGCGGCGCCGTAACGCGCCTGTGTAGTTAGTACGGGTGTGTGCTGAAGCGTTGTTTGCTCTACTATATAGAGTGTGTGTATTTCGCGAGTATGTGTGCTCTGCGATTTTGCGCGTGTGCGTGTGTGTGTGTGTGCGTGCGTGCGTGTGCGTGCGTGTGAGTGCGTGCGTGCGTTCGTGAGCGTGTGCGTGCGTGCGTTCGTGAGCGTGTGCGTGCGCGCGTGTGTGTGTATGCGTGCGTGCGTGCGTGCATGTGTGTGTTTCTTACACGGCCCGCGGTGATCAACAGCCGCGGGGAGGATTCATTCGCCGTCGTTCCAGCGATGCAGCTCCGATCCGATTACGCGCGCGCGGCCGTTGCAATCTACACGAGTGTAAAACGCGAAAACATTATTCCCGACCAAGGTTAATCATTTCGGCTGCGTGAAAACCCCGACCGCATGATTCGCCGCGAGCCGGGAGTAAATTCGTGCGGTAATGCTCGGCGACGGATCGTTCGTTCTATCGTTAGCACGGTGTCGGGTGGACGCCCAAGGTGCAATAAAAACCCGACGATTATGTAGAAGCTATCGCGTTGCGCGAGCGCGCGCGCGAATGGACTTCATTTTATTATATCCTATATACGCGGTTCGTACGATTATGTTCCTATCGTATTGCTCTTTGTTAGCGTTGTTGTGTTGTGGCTTATATTGTCTGAGTTCTGTTGAGTTAATATGCGTTATGTGCTCTCTTGTGCGTTGCTCCTGTACTGGTAAAAACCCGCGGCGGGAATACGAATATATGTTATTTGGTAATATATATACCAGGAGTAGATAATAGGGAATTATCTATTATCCCTATTATCAAGAGCTAATAATACCTCTTAGGTATTATTAGCTCTTGCTATTATCCCTAATATCTACTCCTGATATATACGTATACGCGGTGTCGGTCATCGCTATTGAATGGTGCTTCGATCCGCTTCCCGTGTATCGATCCCGATATTGTGATTGTCGCCGCCATTTCGGGAAGCTCATTCGCGGACCCGGGCGCGGGGAAGCTGAGGTTCATTATCACCGACGATGCTCAGGTTAACCAGCTAATTCGAACTAAGTGGCTTACCATATGGGGATCATTAACTTGATCACCGCTAGGGGACGCAGGCGCACGCCTGATGACGCGTCGTTTCGGAAAGCTCCGCGGTTTTGGCCACTTTGCGCTGATCATGACACGAGCGGCTTTTGAAGTGAGGCTCGCAGCGTTGGTCCCCGCCTACGCATGTACGTCTCGTAGATTTACGTCAGATTTCAAACCAACATGTTGTGTTGCAACTATGACAAATACTATGACACTATTTGTCTTATAGGAAGGTTCTTCCTATGACAAATATTGTTGTATGCGTTGTGCGCATCATAGGAGTTTAGGAGCGCTATTATGAACGCAAGCAGTGAATTTCAGCTGTAAAGCGGAACGAAGTTGGCCAATATCTGTCATAGGACGAATCTTCCTATGACAAATTGTGTCATAGGAGAGCGTATATGCGTATGTCGTATTTGTCATGCAAACAGAACAGGCTGCTCAGGCGGGTGTCTCTTTGGTATTCGTAGTCCTGACGGCTGAGAGAGCGTCGACGGGGCATGTAGTGGCCCGAGGAAGCGCGGAGGGATTTGAACTTTGCGTGCGCTCGCACTCGGTGATGCATGTAGTGGTGGCTTCAATGTAGAATCGGGATCTCGTTGAGGTTTAGTTAGGATGGGTAGTTAACCAGTCAAGTGAAACAGAATAGATTAGATTAGTGTCGTGGTAGGGGGAGGAGTAGGAGTAGGAACTGGAATAGGAGGAAGAGGGGGAGGAGGAGGAGGAGGGACGAGTAGAAACCGGGTAGAAAGAAGAGAAGAAAGGGAGGGAAAGGAGAAGGAGTAGGATAAAGTACATAGTATTTTTATAAATTGACTAAGTGCTAATTAAAACGCTTTCATCTGCAGATGCTATCATGAGCTAATAATACCTATACCTGTACCTATACCTATACCTATAGCTATACCTATACCTATACTTATACCTATACCTATACCTATACCTATACCTATACCTATACCTATACCTATACTTATACCTATACCTATACCTATACCTATACCTATACCTATACCTATACCTATACCTATACCTATACCTATACCTATACCTATACCTATACCTAGGTGTTATTAGCTTTTGATAACGGCCACTTGGGTGAAATTTCGAAAGTGTCCTTTATTGACAGGTGTCCGTTCTATAGCGGTATTCGCTCACACGAGGCTGACAATATACAGGCAGCGTCTATAGTATCTATGGTTGTGGGTTGTCGTGATGGCGATAAATGTTTTATGCCGGACACACGGACTCGTGAGCAGCGAGGATGCCTGCTGCTGGGTGAAGCCATCACTGGCAATGCCGGAAGTGTATCGCTAATGACGACGCCGCAATGACGAAATGACGAAATTTCGGAAAAATGAACGAAATGACGGAATGACGACGCCGCAAAATAATGTCGGCTGTTAAACGCACCGTTGGGAGGGCGCCGGCGGCATGCTACTACTGCTGCTTGTGCTGCTACTACTGCTGCTTGTGCTGCTACTGCTGCTACTACTGCTGCTTGTGCTGCTGCTGCTGCTACTACTGCTGCTTGTGCTGCTGCTGCTGCTACTACTGCTGCTTGTGCTGCTGCTGCTTGTGCT